TTCTACCTCTAGGGCATTTGCATTTTGCTTGTAGGTAAAAGTCATTGGCAAATGAGGTCTGAGAGCTGACAAGCAAAACTATCTAGCATCTTTTCAGAAGCAAGGTACTATATAAACTCATATTTTTACTTGATCAGTGAAAACCCATCTGAGGGAAGACTTTTTTGAGCACCTGAAATCAATTAAAAGTTGGCCAGTAATCCCAAACACATCCCACACACGTAACTCACCATGCCCTTGCTCCGTGCCTTCGGAGAGTGCAAATCAGCAATTATAGCTGTGGAAAGGCTGACATTCCCTTTGCTTATTCCACCTATGATCCTGGAGAGAAGAAAAATGCCGAAAGTCCTAGAGGCAGCCCACAGTGCATACGATGCTATTAAACCCATCTGCAGAAGCAAGAAAAGGTTTTTATAAAGGACAGCAAAATTGATCTTATTTTTGCACATTTCCCAGCTAAACATTCGGAAGGGAGGTCATTGGGGTTTTGTTTGTTTGTTTTTGCTTTTTCAGCAGCTACTCCAAAAGCCATGCAACAGAAGATACTTTTACTGGTGCTCCACCATGTATGGGACAGTGATACAAAAGAAATAGAAATAAATCCATAGAAATGCATCCCTGAAAAATTCCTATAAATACGAGGCTATTCTAATTAGGGTTAGAATAGCAACGGATATCCATAGCTGAAAAGGAGCTAAAACAGTCCTGGGCACTAGAACACTTTTGTATATCCTGCTCCATTTGTTCCCAACATGAAGAAAATTTTAAATTCAAAATATGAAGAATTCACAGTTCCAGCCCTTTAATTTCATAATAAATTATAAGCACACATCCTTATTTAATTCATTCTCAACAACTATACAGGATAGAGTGATTTCTATTTCATTTGTTGCCAAGATCCACCATGTATGTTGATACTCGCTCCACGCTGCTTCTAGAACTCGATATTCTGACTAGCAACAGACCAAACTGCTTGGAGAACGTTCAGTTTCATAATAAATACATCTTGCACTGCTGTATAGCACCTTCTCACCAACACTCTCCAGGCTCTGTAAAATATGTCATGAAGTGATCAGTCCTCATTAGTCACTTGGGGAACTAAAATATACAGGAATTAAGTTTAACGTTTGCAAACGGTGCGTCTGAAGATTGACTCCTGTACACAGAGGTAAGGGCTTTTGGAAAAAAATCTCAGAAACAGACAGGTATTTTGGTGCCTTTAAAGTACAATTACGGATCTGGAGACCTAAGTTTAGGCACTCAGAATTGGAAGTGTAGTCAAGTGACTTGTCAAGAAAAAGCTAATAACCATCAAACCTAGAACTCTAAATTTCCCAGTCCTTTTTGCTAATGACAAAGCCACAGTGCCTTCAACTGCATATTGAGATGGTGTGACTAAAATCGGCATGAGACATACCACTGTCATCAAGATAACAGGCCTTCTCCCCAAGCAGTCTGACACAGCACCGGTGAGCGGAGAGGAGAAAAACTGCAGGATGGAAAAGACTGAGCCAACCAGACCTTAAACAAAAAAAAAAAAAAAATTAGACTTGCTGTGTTCATTTAAAATACAAAGGCAGACAAGCCGTTCAAGATCCAAGGCTCCCTCAAGTCCCTAACACACATACACAATTAAATGTTAAACAACCGCTGCAAAGAACGGTTTTGTCCAAAACCAAGCTACCCTCAAAACACATCTTGCACTGTTATTAACTGAGGGGGCAAATACACAGACAGACCAGAGTAATACGGAAAAGCTGGATGACTCACTGATTACTTTGTTGTGAGAAGGGAATTTCACACTCGCTGGTTATAACGGCATGCAGATTCTCCATTCGCCAGTTTCCTGACTGACAACATATATTTTCTGTTCCCAATGTGGAGATAACGCAGTCTTTAAAAGTCACAGTTCTTTTGAGAAGTTTTTGATTGTCTGAACCTTCTTCTGTTGCATTTAATTACCTTCTCTTTCCTTCTTGTCATGGGAGGAAGAATGTAACTGCTGCTGTTAGTGAGGCGCTCTAAGAGGTAGGAGTGACTCCAAGAGTCTTTTGAAATCTGCCTCCTACTTCTGTGATCTTTAATTCCTCTTTTCTCTTGCCATTTCTAGCCTCATGCACACATTAATTTGCATTATACTATCAAATAAGGAGGCAAGAAGATGCCTTCCTGCCACAGCTTTTCCTTAAAGAAAAACTAGGTTATACAACACAGATCACTCAGCTATCAATGCTAATTAAAGCAGACCAGAAGTTCTGCTCCGATCAACTTCAAGGGTGGCAGAATATTGATAGTGAACATCTAGGGAAGAACAGTTGCTTACAGTAGCTCAAAGCCCCAGAAAACTATGTAAAAATTCTCAGCTTTTAAAAAATTGGCAGCTTACATTAATGAGAGACTTTTCTTCCTTGTATTTCTAGCACTGTAAAAACACCCAAACATGCCAAACACTTCACTCAGGGAGCAGCAAGAGGAAGGTTGCTCCACAGAAGAGGAGCCGGGCACCAAGGGTGACCACAGCACTGGCAGTGCCCTCATGGACCAGGGTGCAGTCCCACACAATCTGGATAGGGCAGGCAAAGCAGTGTGCCAATAGCAGGGTCCACTGGCAGTCCCAGATAAGGTAAGGTTACGAATTGGGTCCATGCAGGGTGTCCAGTCAGGACCAGCAGGAGACAGGGCCAGAGAAAGGACTGGAAACATGGCTACAACACAGGTCTCTTCAGGAGACAAGCCGCCTGCAAGGTAGGTCCGAAGCCAGTCCAGGAGATGGGGCCAGAGACAGCACTGGAGACAAGGCTGTACCTACAACGTAGCTCAGGCAAGGCCCAGGCCTGAGCTTATACGGAGCTCCTGAATCACTGGGCAGAAGGTGTGTGGGTGGAGGCTGGTCAGGGCCTTTAAGCCTATTGGTACCCTCAGGGCCTTGACGTTCACAGTAAAGGTTTGTGCCTTGAAGGAGTTGCAATCTAAGCAGCAGAAGAAAGAGAACAAATAGATCCCACACTGGGGAATGCAATAAAATGATCTTGCAAGTATCTTTCCAATCCTACCCTCCACATTGCAGACAAAGGCAATAAAGGAACACAGGCAACAAGACAACTGTGGCACCTTCTGCTTAACATCACAAGTAAAATAAACCTCTTCCACAATAACTATTTAAGGTGCAATCAGACAAGATGGGCTGAGACAACAGTTGACTACCACTAGGATGGCTAGGGCATTTCCCCCAATTCTCCAGTGAGCTGATTT